CGATGATTTAAAACTATAGTAATTTCTGTTTCCTTTTTTAATCTTTTGTTTGTGATAACGGAATTTTCTGATTTGCTATAGAAAAAACATCATAAATGTAGAAATTTACCTTTGCTGTTTATACCAATGGAAATTGGATTTAATATCCAGTGATTACGATTATGGTATTCACAAAGAGTCCTTGTTTGATGCCAATTTTCGTGGATCATATCAAGTTAGATCATGAATACAAGTTTGAGGTTGAGATGTGTTGAGATTCTAATTGTGAGGACTATATTTGAAATGTTCCTGAAATTTCTAGCATTTAGAAAAACCATAATATGAAAACCAACTTGAACAGTAAGGAAGTAAGGATGTTTGTTCATCATTTAATTTTTCTCACTAAAGAAGTTGAAGAGCACTGCAACAGAACTTAAAACTGCTTGGAAACTGTTACCATGTGGAACTAAGAACTGGTTGGGAACTGTCAATACTCTTAATCTAACCAATCTCCCGCATCACATTGATCTGCACACCATTCTCCACTCTCCATCTAAACCCACCCTCAACCAATGGAAGACATCCCCTCAAAGGCTTCAAAATTGGCGACGCCACATTGGCCTCTGGCGCCTTTCTCTAAGGTCTCAGCTGTTTAATACCAACTTTTGGCTTGCATTAGCCCATGACAGGAGATGAATCTTCCTTCTACTATCTCCCTCACCCCATAAGAATATGTGCACACACTTCTCAATTTGGTCAAGTACTGCCATCGGCGCTGCACAGTGCAACATGAGGTACACAGGTAGTGAAAGGACTGTGATGTTTTTAATGCATTTGCCTTTTGTTGGAAGAGTCAGTATGGTTAATCTTGATATTGTGCGGTGAGAAGACAGCTAGATGTACGATGTATTTCAACACTTTTTCTGCTGCCTGCAGGGGGAGGTATTGAGTGAGTTAGTTCCTATATAATTACTCAGTGTGGTCTAGGCTGCCTTTTAAAAGGCGATAATGGGTAAAGTCAAAATGGATCAGGTCAAACTCTATATCCACGTTCATCTTAGGTAAAAGGCGAGGATTGGAGTTTGAATCTTTGAAAATAATCATTCCTCTCTTGATGCTAAAAATGCATATGTGCCGCTTAAGTGCCCACCTAGGTGGCTAGGTGTTAGGCACTTGGTCCAACGCTTATAAGTGCCTAGCGCTTTCTAAAACATTAAGATCTGTACACTCCGGAACTTTGTCTAATGGAGCTTGGAGATAGGAACTTTGTTTTTTTTGTTGTTAGTGGTATCCATCTCTTTCATCTTAATTTTTATATTCTCTTGTTTACATGATCACTAAATTCACATAAATATTTATTATTTTATTACATTGTAGTCATACGCACCAAGAGTCAATGTATATAGTTATGATGAAATGTTGTTTCCTTGAAGGTCTCCTTCTTACCCTCTCTCTTGTGTTAGATTCCTCTTCATCTTTCCTGTTTGTGTCATTGTCCAAATTCTGGACAGCACGTATTATTATACCCAAATACAGGATATTTGGCAGCCCATCACAATGATAATACATCTTTACTGTCAAAAGTAACGCTACTATTTTTTAAATAAAAAGCCACACTTTTTGTCATGTGAGCTTCATTAAAAAAAACCCAGAAATGCCCTCAACATTCATACAAAATGGAAGTTAGTTTGAAGAATAAGGACAAACTTGGAAAAAAAATCTAATAAAAGTTCTAAATTCCTTCAATCACTCCACCCACGTTTAAAGATCTTCATATAACTCCATCTCTCTTCAAGAAAAAAAAGGAAAAACTGAATCCTTAACTCCCTTCAACACATGCATATAGGATTTGAGAGAGAATAATAAGCAGATGTGAAGTTTTTGATCTCTGGTGAGCGTTTCGCGATTCAAATCATATTATTTAGAGTTAATAATGCACATCATTTAGCGTTAATAATAACTTAAAAGTTTCTTTTATCACATGTTTGGATACCTTATTTGTTCAATACATTTGTGATTTCTTTCCATCCAAACAAGTATATGCCACATGATGCAATGAATGCACTATACAAATTCAAATGATACATATGTAACGTGGGGAAATATTTTATGTAGAACATTATTAATTTGTTTATTACCATACATTGTTTTCTCACATTTTATGTGCACGCATCGGGAGTACCAGAAAACTTTATTATTATTGTTATGCTCATTATCATCATCATCATTGTAATATTATTATTATTAGATTCTAATTTATTGATAGAATTATGTAAAGTGAGTTTTGTGATAATGACAGCTGCATTTTATTTGTCCAGAGAGGATATTTATTCCATGCAATGCAACCTATTGTAACTAACATACTTAAGAAATCATAAGACCGTAACTATAGAATCATATCTTTAAAAAAAGTAATAGAATCACATCTTTAAAAAAAAGTAAGGAAAAAAGAGAAAAGAGTGACCTATCACATGTAGGATATCAAGCATACTGATGGAAGTGTATAAGCCACTTGTATGCCACTCGGTCTTAAAATGTGGCCAAGGAGATTATAGAGTCACACATCATTTTATCTCCACTTGTCTTCTGCTCCTAATTAACCGTTCTATCTCCTGTCACAATCTTACTTAACTCCTATCAGTTCCTATGATGGTTCTATGAAAATGATGATGATTTTGTAATATGATATAGATAATGATGGAGACCATCTAGCCCTTTAACTTTTATATATTTTCCCTTTTTCCTAGCGCTTGGTCTTGGGCTCCAAGAAAACGTCACATTCAAACACGAGGAGTGCCGCATGCATTAATTTTAATTAATAATCCGTGTTCAGACTATCAAGCGCAAGTATAATGCTGTGACAAGTTGATAACAAAATCATAAATAATCATTTAATCCTAGCCCTAGTATAATCCTAACTGCTACAACCTTCACGATCAAAGTCTATATAAAGCCCAAGCTTGCTACTCAAAACTTCGTAGTAACAAAAAAGCAAAAATTAATGAGAATTGGGACTTTCGACTAGATTTCTGGAAAATGATATGAAGACTTCTTTCTTGAATATTGAGACATTGGAAAGTATGAATGGTACTCTTGGATATATATAATGAGTGATTTTTTATTAAATTTGAAAGCATAGTTGGAAAACCCCCCGTTATATAACTCGTTATGTTACATTATGTAACCTACAGACCTTAAACGCTACGTAAGCTTGTAAAATAAGTAGATATGTTACAACTCTATGTTTTTACAATAACATGCGCTATTTGAATATAACTTATGTTATTTGAATATAACCTGCGTTATATGAATATAACTTACGTTTTTTTAAAATAGTTTATAATAATGACATGATAGTATTTTCTTCCTTAAAATTTAAAGTAATTATGTACTTACTTTTGAATTGTTTGTTAAGCCTTCATTTGTTATTTTGGTGACATCACTATGTAATTATGAAATTATGAATGTGACTAATAAAGTAAATGTGAAATTATGAACAAAATGTAAATTTGTGATTATATAGTTGTGATGTTAGAAATTTATATAATGTGTTTCTTTTGAGAAATTGAGATGATGTGTTTGATAATTGTGATGCTATATTTGAAAACTATGATGATTCCACATTCATTAAATTCATTGTGAATATTTTTCATTAATTAGGTATTTAAATCAATAATAAAACACGTAACTTACGTTATGCGTTAAGTTATTTTGCATTTAACCTTAACAAAAGGTGATGTGTTATCATTTTTTTCTTCCAACATTGCCTGAAAGACACCTTATGTAATGTGGGAACTTTATCATCATCATCATCATTAGTTTATGATATGTGAAATTAAGAAGTAAAGGGGAAGTATTCACAATAGCCAACTGCATTTTTAATTTTTCCGAGAGTATATTGATTCTATGTATGCGACCTACTGAAATTAACATACTAAACCTATGAAAATGTCAAATTAAAAGGTACATCTAGAAGTCACAAGAACCTAACTATAGAATCACATCTTCATAAAAAAAAAGTAAAATAAAAGTGACCAAACACATGTAGCATTTCAAGCATGCTGATGCCAGTTGTATGCCACTTGATCTTAAAGATGCGATCGAGGTGAATATAGAGTTGTGCATCATTTTATCTCCATTTGTCTTCCACTCTTAATTAATTGTTCTATCTCCTCTCACTTATCTCCTATTAGTCGCCATAATGATTCTATGCAAATAACAATGATTTTCTAATTTATGATAAGGATAACGACGAAGGCCATCCAACCCATAACTTTTATATCTTTTTTTTTGTAGCCTTTGGTCGTCTATGAAGCACGGACACGCATAACATGAAGCCGTGTCGTGTCGTGTCCGTATCGGACACACGTGTCGAACACACGTATCCTATGTATTTTTTAGGATTTGCCTCGTGTCGGCGTGTCGGATGGCCGTGTCGGATCCGTGTCCGTGCTACATAGTTGGTCGTAAAGCTTGAAGAAATCGTCACATGCAAACACGAGGAGTGCCACACGTATTAATTTGAATTAGTTAATCCGTGTTTAGACCATCAAGCACAAATATAATGAGATGCTAACAAAATCATCAATAATCACTTAATTTTCACTTGGCTACAACCCTAATTGCTACAACCTTCACGTTCAAAGTCTATATATAAAGCCCAAGCCTACTACTCAAAACCTCAAAATAACTAAAAAGCAAAAATGGATGAAAATGAAGACTTCCTACTTGGAAGTTGAGAATGTAGACTTACTCTTTTTTGTAGCCCTTGGTCTTGAGCTTGAAGAAAACATCACCTGAAAAAATAAAGAGTGCTATACGCATTAATTTCTGTTTCAGACCGTCAAGCACAAATATAATGAGATGCTAACAAAATCATAAAAAAAATTTAATCCTCATCCTACTACAGCCCTAATTGATGCAACCTTCACGTTCAAAGCATATATAATTGTTAGGCATCAAGTTTATGCTTGGTACCGAACATACCAATTTTTCACGGATACACACATATACATACATCCATACATATATACATACATATGCATATACATATACATAAACACGTATATTATACACGTACATATACACACACACATCAATGTCTTGTGTCTAGCCATGATACATATATGAAACATTTTTTACTAAACTTATTTTCTTGCATAGTCTAACCTATTTACATGTTCTAGGCAATCAAATTAGATTCACGTCACGTCTTACACACTTGAAGTCCAGACAAGAAATATTCACCTTATGAACATAAATATTTACAAAAAAGACGAAAGAGCTGCTACAAAGTTTCATTTACTGTTGAGGACCGTTATAGATTACAATTATTTGTCATCAAATTTAAATGATTAATGTAATAATAGGTTCACAGAGTATACAAAACGTGAAGATTATAAATGGTTATGTGCACATAATTAAAAAATATACTATTCTAGGAGGATATGACCTTCCCCTAATACATACTAATATTCCGGTGCACCCGATGTGTGCATGACATTGAACGTGGGTGAGTGGCATAGTAAAATTATTAAGGGAATGAATGGTCTATTGAAGTTTTTTTTTTCCTTTTTTCCAAGTGGGAGGCAGTTCCTTTTTTTCCAAGTGTGGGAGAATGTCTGTTGATCAATTTTTCTGAGAGTAAGGTCATTCTTATGTGTTCCTCCAATAGTGATCGAAGTGTTCTTCAAGCCTGATTAGGGGTGGAGGCTAGGGGTGGCCGTGGCCCCCTAAGTTTTTACAAAATGATTACTATATACAGGAGATTTACTCGTAAACCCAAAATTTTACTATCTGTACTTTTAAACCTACATAACTCTCTATGTTTTCATACTTTACTTCAAACCCAAAGTGAAATATACTAGTGTGCACTGTGTAGACATTATAAGGTGTATAACAATATTATTTTTTAAAAAAGGTGTAAAAACAATATGCTATAAGGTGTATGCAACAATAACATACTATATGATGCTCCATCTCTAATTAAAACACAAGCTTAGGTTAATTTTCGAAAAAACCCTCAACTATGGGGCGTGTCTCAGAAAGCCCCACTCAAATTTTTTTATATTTTGAGTAAATCCCCTCAAGTTTTCAGGTGTTGTAGAAAACCCCCCTCAAACATTGAAAATTTGTGAAAACCCCTCTTCACTATGGGCTGTCTCACAAAACTTCTCTGATCTTTGCACTTCTCAAAAAATTCTCTTGACATTGTTGTTTTAAAATGTAAAATGACCTAAATATCCTTTTGAAAAAAACTCATTTCAATTAAAATGAGCCCCTAACCAGTAGAAAAAGACCCAAGGCCTTTTGAAATAAAAGATTTCTTTCTTTTTATTATTGTTTGAAATAAATTTTCATAGGATAACTTATAACATATTAATTGTAAAACTTTTATTCTACGTTCTTCTTTTTGAAATAAATTTTCATAGGATAACTTATAACATATTAATTGTAAAACTTTTATTCTACGTTCTTCTTTCATATATATAAATTAATTATATATTATCATATTTAAACGCTTTTCTAACTGATGCATAGTGTAATGGTTGCATTTTGGCCCTCCAAAGAAAAAAAATTCTGGCTTTCCACTGCGTGATCAAAGTGACCTGGATTTGTCTTCTTGCATAGTCTAACCCATTCACATGTTCTATAGGCGCTGAAATCAGATTAGCATTACATGTCATGCACACTTGAAATCCAGTCTAATGGACTTCTATGTGTTTACTTCTCAACCTGATTTATCAAGCTACATTAACTGAAATAATTAATTCTCTAAAGACCAAAGACCTGAACTTGTACCCCAGTGCAAAAATCATTAAGTTTGGATTAGATTGGGACCCAAATGGGTTTGCTTTGGTTTCAGGTAACGTTGAGCCCAACATCAAATGAGTCTAGTTTGAGTGCTCCTACAGCTACTTGTTCGGCAAGAGGGCAGCTCTTGAGGGGCGAGAGGCTTTGGTTGCTCCTGCAGATCCGTGAGTTCATGCTGGTGTTGTCATACAAACAACAATGCACTACATCTCTCAGAACTTTGCAGTCGAGCGTGCTTGGGCTAGTGTATTACTAAGATGGGTGAACTCGTAGGAAGTCATCATCAGTTAATTTCTGTTATGATTCTCTTTTTCTAGTTTCAAATTTCCATAGAAACTAAAGAGTGAAACCTTTATTTTTTCCCTATTCGAGTTCCATGTGCCAAAATGGAAGACATTTTTAAAAAATAATCGAATTTGTTGCGTTCCCTCCTATCAGAAGAGCTTTTCTTTTTTTATTGTTTCTTACCAACTTCAATGTGGCAAAATGGAAAAAAATTGTTAGGAAATATTGGATTTGCCATATTTGTCCCACTGGAGGTCATTTTTTCTGGCTCCATTATGGTAATATGAAAGACAATCTTTCTTGGAATTTTTGTTTCTTTTTTTTTTTGGGGTGGTGGGGGGCAGTGGGTCATTTTAAGGTTTGTTTGTAATTGAGGCAAATGGTTTCCTTGTTCACTCAAATCTGTCAAACTGTCGCCGCTGAATAAATCTATAACCTGGGTGTTGGCAAGACACTTTCAATTCAGTCTCCTTCTTGTTTGAAGTCTTTCCCCTTTCTTTCCATTGTTAAAATGTATAGTAATGTCTAATTTAATTGAATTATGAACTTCATACACATCAATTGTACTTTGTTTCTTTTGCAGGAACAAAGTAAAAATGTGTACTTCACAAAACAAACAGTGAGTAATGCTTGTGGAACTGTTGGCATTCTTCATGCTATAGGAAATGCTACATCAGAAATCAAGTTGGGTAAGTTTATGGCGTGTTGTGCTATTTTCGTGTGAATGCCTCCTTACTGCCTATTTGTTCTTTGTTTCAGATGTATTATTTGTATCTCTTGCAACCTTTTTAGTTATTACTGTATGCTATGTTGAGTTATACAGAGAATTGCTCCCTTTGAACTCATAGACAGTCTTTCCAGATTTTATGAAGATGAATCATATTGCACAGCGCTTTGATCTAGATAGACATTGCACCAATATATGGTTGGATTATTTGATTCATAAAAAGATTGCATGATTCAATTATGCCTCTAATCTTGTGTCCTAAGCCAATGGCTTTAAACATTTTTTAGCTTTTGTCTAATGTAATATATAAAAGCTTATGGTTGTACCGTAGTCAGACTTCATTCAAGAACAATATAGCTCAAGTATTTATATTTTGTCTTCTCTATGTTTGACCTTTATTGGGTTTGTGCATTGTTTTGTTCCATTCCAACATGTATATTGAGAATATGTAGCTGTATTGATTTTATCAGCTAAAATGGTGGGGTAAAGCTCCTCATGACATTTCATTAGAAAAATATTTATCACATATCGATTTTTCAGCTAAAATAGCAAGTTGAAGGCCCCTGGAACATTTCACTATTAAAACTTTAATGAGGCAAGATGGCGAATGTAGAGAGTCCAAGCTACATGAATATATACTTGATTGAGAAAGATGTAAGCATCCACAAGACAAAAAGGATGCATAATAAACCACGTACCTCAAGAGAGGATTAGCTGATTGGTTGGGTCTCTTGACAGCTCTAGGTCATATCTGAATGTCCTCGCAGGGTCGCCGCTATCTACTTTTTATGCTCGAGGATCAGTGCATATAAGTCTGGCTAAACTTAAACATGTTTTAAGTAAATAATTCAAATTATGTTCTTCTTCTTTGCAACTTTACCCTAAAGTTTCTATTGTCTCTCTTTTCTGTACCGGAAGACTGTTAATTGAGAAATCAGCTTCTCAATCAGACCTGTTTTGATTATCCACTGATTTTCCTGTGAAGTAGAACATGTCCAAAATTGTACTGCGGTACAGTAATGAATAATTACCATAAGGTCCATAACTATATACCTTACTGGTCAAAGGAATATTTCATTCGCTACAACTATAAGAGTTAATGGCCGATGGTATGTCGTCGTTGTTTCTACTTTCTATGTCGGAGAAATTTTTAAAACCAACCCTTTTTGAAATTTAATGGGCAAAATCGACCTTCACGAGAAATTATTAGCAAAACCAACCCTTTTCAGAAGAAAAGGGTCGGTTTTGCAGCGGAGGGGTTTCTGCGAAAGTGCATGGGACCACTAGTCCCATGCATTTCGTTTATGAAAACAAAATGCATGGGACTAGTGGTCCCGTGCAATTGGTGTTCGGCAGGCCAACTGCTAGTCCCGACTTTTAGGCAGAGAGGCAATGTGCTGCTGGCTAGTCCCGTGCATTTTGTTAACTGAACACGAAATGCACGGGACTGCTAGTCCCGTGCACTTCCTGTGCACGTTTTTGTGCACTTATTGGCTGCATTTCATGTAGTCCCTGTGCATACATCCACACAAACTTCCACTAACAAATCACATACTCATTTCACCATTGCATTTCATGTAGTCCCTGTACATACATCCACACAAACTCCCACTAACAAATTACATACTCATTTTTCACCACATACTTATTTCAAATCAAACAAATCACACCACAAACTCCCACTAACAAATCCAACATAATAACACCACAAACCTACTTAGAAATCCAACAAATCACACCATAGTCTCGACTACAAATCCAAAAACCATGTCACATCCCTAAATAGTTTTGTAATGTATATAACTTGTAGTTTACATACATCCAAGAACTCTTCTCCTCGTTTGTCTTTGTCGTCCTCCATACCGCCCTTCGACGAGTTCGTGATCCGGTTGCGTTTGGAGTTGTGACGGTCCGGTTCCATCGTCAACACATTGGAAAGGTCCAGCTTCATCGTTATTTCTGCGTCGTCCTCGACTTTGTCGCTGTTGTCGTGTGTATACGAATGGCGTTACCTCCCGTCCATCATGACGATCTTCGTGAGTTCGGTGTAAGGCTTGGTGAAGCCTCTGCATTATGGACTGATATATTGATACATGTTCATGTGCTTCGGGATTTCTACTTGCGATAGATAGTTCAAAAAATCCAAAATTTGATATTAAATTTTCAAATTAAAGAATGTAAATTTTGAGTTAATTCTATATTACTTGCTTGAGCCAATTCCAAGCCACGATTTGCAATGGTTTGAACTTCATCTATTGCTGATACCTACAAATTTTTCATCACATCTTAGCAATATTGAGCAATACCAATAAAAATGGACTTAAATCAAAATATAAAAATACTTACTAATTCTCTCTCATCTATACCCTGGGGCACATATCCTCTTTGCAACTCAATCGGTATTGTCATCGCATGAAGTATCCATCTTCGGGTTATCCCCTAATACCAAGTGTAGTAATCTGATTCCCGAGGAGTTGGTTCAATTTGGGTGACAATACAAAAATGTCTATCATTTCATCTGTGTATAAAAGCTTGATGCACGACCATCCAGTTTATTTGTTGGCCTCTTTTCTTTGCCTTCCTCTCTATCGTTTCAACAAATTGCGGAACATGTTGTGTACGACCAAATTGTCGAAGCACGCGGTCCGGTACATGTATTTCTACTATCTCCAAACATATAAGAGGAACTCTAGCTCTCCATACCACTTGGTATTCTGTGCATATTAGGGGTAGCTGAGGTAGAAATTGGGTGTAGGGCTCCCATTCCATCTACAGAAATTTAATCGTTGCATATCAGAAAAGTAAATTTGATATGTAGGGCTCCCATTCCATCTACAGAAATTTAATCGTTGCATATCAGAAAAGTAAATTTGATATGTAGAAGAAACTTAATTGTTTTTTGGCAATGATATAAATTTGATATGTAGAAGAAACTTAATTGTTTTTTGGCAATGATACCTGAAAAATCTTCATACGGTCAAAGCTCATTTCGGTAGAAATCTAATTGTCGAGCCGGGGTCTCGTCATAACATTTTTCAACATTCCATCTACAGAAAAATATTGGTCATACATTTAGTACCACAATGATAACTACAGTTATATTCGCTACATAAAAAATACAATACCTGCATCCCAGTGGAATTTGTCCATCTAATTGTAAATTCGTACATAGTCTCGGCTTCAAATGAAGTCTCTCCCATGCCCATACTTGCAATAAGCTCAAACACCCTTTAAGCTCACTGTTTTGCATCAATGCCACTTTGGACATCTCTTTATATAAGTACGCCAAAACGGCACTACCCCACGATTTTGTGCCACATACGTCCAAGTCCTCGAGGAGTGGTAACCATCTAGCATTTTCACAATATTCCAATTTTTTAAAATAAGCTAATTCAATGAAATACAGATTCATATTATAAATACACATACCTCGCATGCACTTTATCTTTACTTGAATCTGGAAATAATATAGTACCAATCATGTGCATAATGTATGCACGTGCATGTTGGTCAACAAATATTTGTGGGGCATCAACAGGCAACGGTACTGAGAAGGTCTCTCTCAACCACTTCAACTTAATATTTCCTCGAGGCATTGACTCTGGAGCTATACCTAACAACTGCTCACACCTTGTCGGCCATACATCACTATCAGCGTCGGTTAGGCACGGACCATCTATGCGGAGATCGAGTATTACGGCTACATCTTGTAGAGTAATGGTAGCCTCGTCCATTCGGAGGTGAAAAGTATTGGTCTCAGGTCTTCATTTGTCCATCAACGTGGTGAGTAGGGGCCAATCGAGCTTTATCCAACGAAGCTTTGAACAAGTCAAGAAGCCGGCCCGTCCTACAGCTGATATGATACGCTCATCCTCTAACCGCCAACGACTATGGCTGAGACTATGATCAACCAAAACGATACTCCTTCCTCTCTGTAGAGCAAATGATAGTATAAGAATGCAAGATTATGTAAATGCAAATATTACAATTATAAAGTAACTGAATTACCTCTGTACAGGATATAATATGTGAACGATGTTGAGCCTGGTCATATAAGACCTCATCACTAACCGACCCAGGATCCATGTTGTACAAACCTGCACATACAATTATACACATGTCAATAATCAATCAAATAGTAATTAAGTTTTTTATTAAAGTATATAAAAATAAAAAAAAGTATATAAATTACCAATTAATTACTATCTATTGTGTCTAGATGGACAACGAGGTTGAGTATGTCCCGGTTGTTTGCAAAGACTATATTTTTTATGCTTGACAACTCCTTCTCGCCCTTGATCCATGGTTCTCCTAATTCGCACAGATCGTGGTCGACCTGCTTGTCTCCGGTATTAAGGTGGAATTATATGCGATCCATTATATTCAGACCAATACCGACTATCATCAGGTGGATGAAAATTCTCACTATATGTCTTTTGATAGTGAGCTGTTGAATATCAAGGCGAGCAATACCGATTATAGGGAATTCTAGCACCTCCCGACTGATTGGAAGAAGCCGCAAGCACATGTGCACATGGGATTTTTTAGAGTTGTGGTATGTTACATGTGCAAGTGCATTCAACATCAAATAGTTTAACAGTGTAGATACCGTCACAATCCTGTACCTGCCATTCGTTATCGTTGAATACAGTAATTTGACATGATCTTGCTGCCTTAATTCTTCTATGCAAAATGGCCTCATTTTTTGGTGTGTAACGTGTTGTCCAGTCTATGCCATCACCACGCCTTTTGTTAAAGTATGCGTTTAGTCTATAGAACGTTCTCGCAACCAAAGATTGTATTGGCATAGCTCGTGCTCCTTTAAGAATGCCGTTAAAGCTCTCGGAGAAATTAGTTATCATCATGCAAAAGCGCACACCTTCATCCTTACATAATGCCTATCAATGCTCGAATTGAGGTATCAAGTTATTTTCAATCCAATTATGTGCATCTAATGACAAA